TCTCCCCTCCCCTCACTCATCCCCGCCCCGCCATGCCGGACCAGATCTCCGTGTCGGAATTCGTGTCCGAGACCAATGAGGATTACAAGTCACCTACCGCCTCCAACTTCACCACCCGGATGGCCCAGTGCAGGAACACGGTGGCGGCCATCGAGGAGGTGAGCCCCGGGAGGGGAGGCGCGCCGGGGCGGGGAGCGGGCTGCGCAGCCCCCTCCGGCCTGGCTGCCCGCCGCAGCGGCAGCGGCAGCAGCAGCAGCAGAGAACAAGGCGCTACCGGCGCTGTCTCTTGCCGCTCCCTCTCCCCGCCCGGCCCCGAGGAGCGCCCTCGGCTGCCGTTGAGAGGAAATGGGGCTCGCCCGGGTGGAGAGGGGAAAGAAAAGGAGAGGGGGGAAGGGCTGAGGCGCTGCTGCCCCCCGGCCCGCGGAGCTCGCGCTCCGCCCGCCTCCCCGCTCTGAGCTCGCCCCTCAGCGCACGGCGGGGCAGGGGCTCCGGCCGCCCCCCACCGTCGCGTCTCTCAGCCTGGGGGCAGAGGAGCCCAAGCACTCGTTTCTCTCTCCTCCTGGAGTCCGAGGAGCCCCGAGCCGGTCGCTTCCGCCCATCTGCCTTGTTACCTGGAGGGAGTCTTGAACTCTCCAGCCTCCCCACTCTGCCTCTTGCTTCACAGCGACACCTGAGCCGCCTCGGCCCCGCCGCGCCTCCTTCCCGCGCCGCCAGCTGCCGTGTGGGGCTTGGGGCCTGGCAGCCCCGGCGGTCCGGGGGGGTTGGAGTGTCCTTTCCCCCCGTGTGTGTTCGTCTGCCTGCCTCTTGGCACAGGTGGGATTTAATCTTCTTTCCAGTCCCCGCATGTAGAAATTTAACCCCCCCCCTCCTCGGGCATATGCTTTAAGGTAGCCTTCCCTCAGGAACCGCTCCTCCAGGCTCGTGAGGCGATGCCTGCCCCTCCCGGGGAGGCGAGAACACGCCGACCCCAAAGCGGCGCCGGTTCAGCCTCCCCTCGGTGCGCGGGAGCCTGAGCCCCCTCTTTTTTTGCCTCCTCTTGGACAGCCTGGGCTGCGGATGCTTCGTGTGAGCCGCTTTTGTCTGGCAAAGAGACCTGTTTGTTTTTCTTTCTTTAAAGTTACTTGAAACGTGCCGTTGAACCTGACGGTAAGAGCCCTCCGTACCGCGGAGGGTGGCTGCCAGCACTGGAGCGGGGGGAGTGAGAGAGAGACTCTTTTCCCTCCTGTTTCAAATCAGAGGGAAATCTGGGACAGGTCTGAACACAGTGAGAGCACATTCCACATCCCAGTCATACACGCACAATGAAATGAGAAGCGTCTATGTATCTTGATTCCCCTAGCAGCTTTTCTGAAGTAACTTGTGGGAGGGGGGAAATCTTACTTGTGATGCAGATTAATTTGCTCCATCTACCTGTTACATCAGTTCTTACAGTGTGCGTTTAGTTGATCTGTTTTGCAGTAAGCATATATTTTAAAAAGAGCCTCTTCAGCAAAGAGAATCTTGTCAGTAGTTGATGTCCCTTCTTACAAAAGAACTGCCACTAGCAATGGATTATTAACGTGTCTTAAGTGAACAAAACCCAGGTTAGGTGTTTAAACACCCTCTTCAAGATTTTCCTGTTTTGCCAGTTCCCAAAACCACTAAAGCAAGGAGTTGAATTCAAAATAATCTGCACAGAAGGAATTACTGTTTTGTTCCTGAGGTAATTTTCTTCCCTGCAAGCTTGCACTTAAATGCCTGGATTTAATTATACCTTATTAGCCTGATAGACTTAAGATCAACAATTCTGTATCAAAGACAACTTTTTCTTAAAGAATATTTATAATAGTGAATGATTTTAGTTGTAAGGTAGAGCTGCTTAATAATTGATTAACACAAAATCAAAGTTAGTGTAAGCGTTTGGGTCAAAAGCAGTTTTGCTAGATTTAGAGATTTTTATTACAGGTCTCACAAAAATTGGTCTTTCTCTAACCCTCAATTTGCAAAGCTGTATGGTTGCAAAAATGTTATATCATTTCTCAGAAAAAACATGCAAAGAAGTTTTTGGTTTTCATGTCTGATGATACAAAATTTATATATGATACCATGAAATTTGTAACATACATATCTTAAGGTCTTTTAAAGATTTAACTCAGTAAGTTGCGTCTTGAAAACCTTTTTTTTTTCACATTAAGAGAATTATATTAATTTAAAAATTTGAATATGGTGGATTCCTAATCTGCTTGGCATTTGTTTTCGTGTCATCTCTGATAAGCTGCTGTTTGATTTTTAAAGAAACTCAATCAGTATGTTACATCTTTGTATCCCTGCATATTTCAGATATTAGACACTGTCTGCTAGCTTAGGTAAAAAATTATCTTTTATGATAATGATGATAAAGAATGTGCCTAGTGTCTTACAGATCTAATTAAAGTTTGCAAGGCAGGAGATGAGAGATTGCACTGCCTATAGCTGCTTTTAATAGTATTGATCTATCTAGCACCTCTGGCAAAATATCAGCAGTTGCTGCCTGTTTGTGCTGCTGTCCTAAAGCATGTGTTGAAATGACTACTGAAGTTTTTTCTTTGTGATTTATTGAGACCAACAAACAAATTTTCATCGTTTCAAAACTGTGAAATCTTTTTTCAGACTTAGACTTCCTTGGTTTGGAAATACTCATGTCCTTTAGCATGACGTGCCTGGTTTTTCAGGTTAAATGTGATGCTTTGATAAAAAGCTGTCTATAAATTGTGTAATAGAGAAGTCAGTGCTCAGCACCTTTTTTCTAAAAGACTAGGCAAGAATCAGTTCATCAGCTTGTTATGAGCTAAGATTTAGTAAAGAATGTGTCTAAAAATGTACAGGTAATAAAAAGAATTGTGTATTTCCAGTGTCACAAGTACTGTGAAGCATCAGTTTCCAGTGCACGCTGCTCTGTTGCCGTAGACAGTACAGTTCTGAAAACTAGGAAGTCTGGCTGTGTATGATTTAGGAAATGTGTTATTCAAAACTGTTAATAGGTAAGTTGAATCCATGCTGACTGCTGGCTTTGTGTATGCATTGATTTTAACAAGTGACTGTAAGAGCTAGTTTATTAACGGAAGACAGTTAAGTTTTCATTTTCCAGGATATTGTATACATGTATTAAATCAACAAATTAACTGGTTAATGCTCATACTTTGAGGATGTCTCTTAACTGGTTTTCCCAGCAAATCTGGTTCTGGAATGGACTGTGCAACTGCCTGCATGAAGCCAGCTTGAGTCTCCCAAGCCTTGCACTCCCTTGGGAGCAGAGGCAGAGGGGGAGGCAGTGCAAAAGCACACGAGGTGGGGGCTAGTGTGACTTATTAGCCTGAGCTCAGCTCTGTGCAAACACAGATAGCTGTTTTCAGATCCCAATGGGAAGTCTTTTGCACTTATATTAACACTGCTGGCTACTGGTTTTGCAATTCTGTCTTAGTTAATTAGCAGATATCTAATTGTGTCTTAAAAGTTTAGTTAGTGAGGCCTTGCTTTCAGTGATGGAGTGGAAAAGGCTTGTTAAGTGAGGAAATCAATAAGATATTGGACAATTATAAGTGTATAATTTACCGATATGTCTCTGTGGGCAATGGTATTGCCTTAAATGAGTATTTTCTGAACTTGGATTAACTGACCTCTGTCAGTTGCAGAATATGATTGATTTTTAGTATCAGTTGAAAATACTTTGAGTTTTACTGTTTTATGTGATTGTATAGACTGATTACAGACCCAGGATCATGGCCTTGAGATCACCAGAAGCGCCTGCATTGCAGTTTGGGAACTGATGCCTATTCAAACACTTGGAGAAAGAGGATCCTTTGCTCTCAGTTGTGGAAAAGGGATTAGGAAAGGCATGCTCGTGGAACACAACGTGATTTCAAAGGAAAAGGAATCATATAATTTCTGCATTGTTCACAGATTAGGATGTTGCTTAGCAAAATGGTGGGAATCTTTAGCTTCTGCTAAAACAAAATTACAAGTGAGCAGTATACATCACAGGCCATTACAGGTTACTGTTTAATCTTTGCATGTATGATAGTGACTAAGATTAAACAAGTTTTAATTGATAGAGTGCAGGGCATAGTCATATGTGTGGGGGAGGGGTTGCTTGAAATCAGTAATCGAGTCTGACAAATGCAGTCTTTTTAGTTGACTGTTTCTATTAAAGGTCCCAGGATCTAAAAATGTGTGGTGACCATTCTTAAGCTATGAACGCTTAAAAATCTGATTTTAGTACTGCTATTACTTAGAACATACACTTCTCTCTTTTATGTGCTATAAGTTAAAATAGTCCCTAAACTGTAAAAGAGCCTGCAAAGTGGTTCTAATAGCTGTGATCATTAAAGATTTTTAGAAATTATTTTATAGAGTGATTTAATGACTAGAATCCAAGTGTCCCACTTTTTTTTGAAGCATGGGTTAAGTTTTACAATAAAGGCTGGAACTGAAGCCCATAAAAATCCTACCCGTTTATTCTACCTGTTTATCATGGTCCAGTGCTTGTGGACCAAGAAAGAAAGGTGGGGGGCTGTTGTGCAGGCTGCTATGTAAATGGAGTAGCAGACAGTTCATGTGCTGAAGACATTTCCAAGTCAGAACTTGAGATGCAAAGTTTACTGCACCTGCTTAAAACTTCACTGCATGCACAGATTTCCCTATAGAGAGAGAGGAGAATGGAAACATTGGGAGAAGTTTAATAGGTTACTGGAACACCCTCCGCGGCATAGTAGCGCTTGCTACTGGTATAAATGTGTTGTAAGAAGTAGACAGGATGAACGTGGTGGAAAGATTTAAAACATACAACCAAAAGAAATAGTATAGTGGTACCAAAGATGGTCTTAGTTCTCTGGATAGAAATAGATTTTAATTGTCTGGGGTCCATTTAAAAGCCGCTCTCCAAGAATTTCTGTAAAAACCGTGAAATTAACATTAAAGCCATAACTTGTAATTTCAGTTCTCTACTTGCCTTTGTTCTATAGGTCCTATTCCATGATTATTGCAGCTCAATGATTCTGTTCTTTTACAATTTAAAAGGGGGGGGGTTTGTTGGTTTTTGGTTGTGCGGTTTTGTTTTTTCTTTTGTAATTTCCACTCCTAGGAATGCAGCATGTCATTTCAGTATCAAATCCTTTTCTTCCTCACCGTCACTTAGAATGCA